GAGAGAGAGAGAGAGAGAGAGAGAGAGAGAGAGAGAGAGAGAGAGAGAGAGAGAGAGAGAGAGAGAGAGAGAGAGAAAAGCGAGCGAAGAGAGCTAAGAAAGCGAGACATAAAGCGACAAAATTTGTTCATTTGTGCTCACTAGTTAGACTCCTTGGTTGGCATAATTGAAAGATCCATCGAGGCCGCATTCTTACAGCCATTCTCACCTCCTTTTTTTTTCTCTTCTGATTCATCGGCGCCGCATTCCCACAACCATTCTCACCCCCACCGTTCGCCATGATCTACTGTTCGCCCAAATATTTGTATATTTAATAATATACAATCTTTATAAACTTCTGCCTTTCATATATGTTGGTGATAGACTAACCCTATTCAGTATCTATGTTTTTTCAGGTTGTGGAGCTAGGTGTGAAAGTAGTATTCGCCGAAAAACTCAGGGGCTCGAGGCTAAGGACTTTTTTTTCTCTCTCTCTCTCTCTCTCTCTCTCTCTCTCTCTCTCTCTCTCTCTCTCTCTCTCTCTCTCTCTCTCTCTCTCATTTCCTCCCTCCCTTCTCTCTTTCTCTCTCTCTTATTTTCTCCCTCCTTTTCTCTCTCTCGCTCATCTTTGAGTTATGCCTCTCTCTCTCTCTCTCCCTTTCTCTCTCTCTTTCTCTCTCCCTCTCTCTTTCCCTTTCCCTTCCCTTTCTCTCTCTCTCTCTTCATTTCACTCTCTTTTCCTCCCTCTCGTTCTCTCTCTCCTCGCTCTCTCTCTCTCTCCCTTGCTTTCTCCATCCACCTCTTTATATGTTCTCCCCCTCTCGGTCTCTTGTTTTTTCCCTCTCTCTCTTTTTCCTCTATCTCTCCCCTCTCCTCTCTCTCCGCCTCTCTCTCTCTCACCGTCTCTCTCTCTCTTTCGGCTCTCATTTCTCTCAGTTGTGCAATTGTAATAACCCCAGACCCCGGCCTCCGTCTTTTGAAGCGCCATGCAAACAAACTATGATGTCTCCAAGCGAATGCACGTTGTTCATTCATCCACAACGTTTTTTTTTTCCATACTCCATTTTTGTCAATGTTGGTCAATACTTCGGCGGGGCTTGCATCAACCTGCTTAGTTTTTCGCGCATCAAACTCGGTAACCCTTTCCGCGAGGCATATACCAACCTCACGTGGCGAGGCATCAGTCACCAGTAATGAGGGGTCGTGCATTCTGCAGTTTAAAATATGACATCCTAACCTCATTGGATGACGATAGGAATGCCCCACCCTTAACAACATGTTATTGCGGCATTCCTCCAATGCCTCGATCACCTTTACCACTGATTTGAATGTTATTCCTTCAATGTACTGAGTTGTAAAACGAGTTTCACAGCTGTCGTGCATGTCTTCGCTTGTGATGTGAGCACGACAACCCCACTCCCGCTCACAATATCGCTCCCCTAACCGAGTGTTTGAGTGTGTGGGCAACAACTGCTTGAAACCACTAACCAAGCGATACATATCATTCCGACAATCTTGTAACGCGACCGTATACTGCGCAAGCTGATGTTGTGAAAACCTTCTCTTTTCGAGAAATTGAAATTGTGTGGTACCGTCTTCATTGTTGACATTTGGATATGTAGCTTCATGCGGCGCTTTAAGTGTCATCCTCGGTCACATGCTGGTTAGTCGACAGAGAGAACAACAACAAAAGAAACAGTACAAAATGCTATGAATTACTGTAAACTCAAATAGGTCTATTATTGCAACATCGGCCACGAGTTGCGTGCAAAAGACTCTGAATTTCTTTGGTGGGACGCACTTTGCGCACTATCGAAACCCATATTCAACCTACGGTAATGCTCTCAGATCGGTGGCAGCAGAGCGTTTAATACTTTCTAGAAGTGTGGATGCTGAATAATTTCACTGAACTTCGACAACGTCAAGGGATAACTACCTTCAAAAAGGTCAAGGGAGGAGTATTTTCAAAAAATGACCAAAAAGAAGAAAATGGAGAGGGGTTGACCAAGGGTTGGTGCTTCCCAGTGACAGAGTGCTTTCAAAAAAATGACGAAAGATAAGCAAATAGTGAGGTGGACCCTGAAAGGAAAATAGAAGGTCGTCGTTATACGACATTTCAAAGCAACCACCTTGGAGTTTGTTCACCAGTGGCCAGGTAGGTGGACTCTGGAAGGAGAATATAAGATCTTCATTATACGAAGTTTCAAAGCAATCACCTCGCGTTCACCAGTGGCCAGGTCGGGGAGAGGGTAGCTTAGAGGGTAGCTTAGAGGGTAGCTTAAAGGCAACCAACTGTCAGGTCAGGCGGCCAATAAGACACTAACCCCACCTCCGCGTCTGGGGGGACGCGTGGATGAGCACATACATAAAAAAAATAAGCTGCTTGTTTTGTTGTGGCGGGTGCGTTGACTCTTTTKGGTGAGTTGCATTCTTAGCTCAACTGGATAAAGCAACAACCTTCTAAGTTGAAGGTCACAACTTCAAAAAAAAATGACGAAAGAGAAGCAAATAGTGAGGTGGACCCTGAGGAACCGTGTCGTGGTTGACATGATGTCTTCGTGCAATTTGCACATTGTTCGCTGTCAGACGATTTCTGTTCGTGGCTGTCAAAGCACAACGACCATATTGTGTTTGATATGGAAGATGTTCTTTCCTTCCGGTGGAAAGACCGTGTCATGCTTGACACGGTCATATCATGCAGGTGTTTATCTTATACTTCCACTGATAATATAGGATGAGAAAGACCGTGTCGTGCTTGACACGGTCGTATCTTGTCTTAAATGTTGGTGGACTTAAGGATAGGCAAGCGAATCCCGTAATCTGTGAACCGCTCTGTCTGTTGGGTCATCCACTCAGTGAACCATCCAGCCTTGGGTCCATCACTACTTAACTAGTCCGTCAACCACTCAGTTTAAACTGTGAAACAATCAGTCAATCGGTCAGCCATTCAGTCAACTTATCATTCTACTACTCAACCACTCATCCACCGAGTCAACCAGTCCATAAACCACTCAGTCAACCAAGTTGTCAAAAAAACGGTCAACCAATCAGTCAATTAGTCAGACATTCTTGAACTTATTCAACCACTCGGACAATAACTCGGTCAACCATTCCATTAAGTTAACCTATTAGTCGTCTGACCAGGCACCCAACAAGTCAACGAATCAGTTACTCCATTCACTTCAAGGATCATTCATCTGAGTGGTTCAACCGACAAGTGAACCGCTCTGTCTGTTGGATCATCAGTACTTTTATTTTTGTCTTAGTGTGCCGCAATTGCTGTTCAATCAACCTCTCTGTCTGCTAGATCATCCAGTCAGTAAACCATGCAGCCCTGGGTCAATCACTCAGTTTCAACTGTCGAACTGCTGGATCATCCACTCAGTCAACCATCCAGCCTGGGTGACTCATCCACTTTAAACTGTCAAACAATCAGTCAATTGGTCAGCCATTCAGTCAACTTATCATTCTATTACTTAGCCAGTCATCCACTGAGTCAACCACTCCATAAACCAC